GAAGAGATGATCAGACTAGACTCACCTCGATGGTTCTGATGAACTCATTGGGCCGCTCTATCTCGACGACCTCTTTTGAATTGTCATAGACAACATCAAAAGGGAAGAGCCCGAGGGCCATGCCACTAAATGAAAAATGCATTTACCGGGGATCGAACCCGGGACCTCTCGCTTACTTAACACGGATTCCATCCGCCTTAACACCATGACAGACAACTCCCAACTGAGTTGCCGCCTTCATCGACAGCCGCGGTAGAGATGCACACTTTCGCGCGCCCAATATAGCAGATAACGATGAATCGTTGAGACCAGAGGATGACGGTACCTGAGCGAATCTTACGCACGCGGAAGATTTTCTTTCAAACTCACCCTCCCAACGACTCTGGCGAAATACAAGGCCTTAGCCGCTGTGGCCATCCAGTCGGGCCTATAGGACTTGGCAAGCTGGACTGTGAGGGCCTCTACCAAACGCCCACAAGCAGCATTGAGCACCTCCGAACCGCCATGCTGCTTGAGAAGAGTCGAAGGCCTGAAGGGAGGAGGAGGAGGTGAAGGAAGCACCAACCCTGACAGGATAGCGTACATGAAGACACATAGTGGTATCATGAGGTTGACCAGATTGGATACGGATAAGGTCCCCATCTGAACAACATAGGGCTCGTATGATGGGCTGTAGTGGTCGTCCTATTACCCTCTTGCTCAGTTGGTGAATTAAAGTAACAACAGCCTTGCCGAGCTTCATAAGAGGTACATTCAGCATTCCCAAGGCCCACAGTGCCCGTACCAGACAGTCGTTCACAGCTTCCTGGCTCATGCCGTTGTCACTACCACCTGTATCAAGTCGATGTACAAGGTGGGCGCAGCAGTAGAGAACCTGAGCTCAATCGACATTATAGTCACAACAGGACGCTACTACTACTACTACTACTACTACCAATTTCTCATCCCAAACACGCGTAGCTGCCAACGCCCACAACAAGGAGCTGAGAGCTTCCAAGTCCAGCCCACTAAATTGGCTCAATCGAGACGGTTGTGATAACTGAGCGGCCAGCTCAAATAGGCGTAGTCGAGAGGCTCTGAAGTAATAAGAAGAGGAGTAAACGAAGCCAGATGGACCCTGGTCGTACGTAGCAGCCCACGCTTCTGACGAGGACCAGACCGCCTCTGGCTCCGGTTGGGGCGTAGTGTCATCAGCCCAACCACTTTCGATGTGGAACTAATATACGAACATCAGCAGGTTGAGGCATCATCGTCAATGACTCCTGCTACATTAAGGCCATATGCTATAGCATAGTAGACATATATGCTTCGCTCCGCCGATTTTGATTTCATTTTCAATTGTCGTTGCGAGGCCTCTATAAAGTACCTTCAGCCCACACTTCCAACAACTACCCCAAAGTGATGATGACCACTACTCGCTGTCCCAGACACCCGATATTGCTATAGCCACCAGCACATCGGGGTCATCTACTGCTGTCCCAGTCGAGCAGAGTCGTGAGAAACTAACACCGATAGCAGACAACTACTACATACCCTACTACAGCGTCAAATTACACTTTTTTCTTCTCAATGCTAGTGTCCTTACACCGCAACATCGCCTTGGCCAGCTCGCACAGACTGGCAGAATCACATCTAAGGAAGATGAGGTTGCCACTATGAAGATTCAAAGGAGGCCCGTACTTGGACAGGTCGAAGTCATTGGCTGCGAACTCGAACAGTTTCCTAGACTTCGTCGTGGCTTCCGCAGAGAGTGAGAGGTCATGTAGAGAGCGACAGAGCACCTGCGAGGACGACTTTAACAGAGGCAAC